GACTCTGAATAGACCAGTGAAAAGTAATGAGGGGCTGGGTTTGTGGCTCAGTGGTAGAGCATTTGCCTAGCATGTTTGAGGCACTGAGTTCATTCCCTGGCACCATATAAAAAAATAAATAAAATAAAGGTATTGTGTCCATCTACAACTAAAAAATATTTTAAAAAAATAATGAGATTGAAGCAGTAATATGAATTCTCTCAAACAAGAAAAACCCATGCCCAGAGAGCTTCATTGCCTGCATTTTACCAAAAATTTAAAAAATAAAAAAAAATGCCAATTTTCAAATTGTTCCATAGAATTGAAAGTGAGGAAACTCCTCCAAAATCATTCTATAAGACCAGCTCTACCTTGATGCCAAAAGTAGACAAGGGAACAACAATGACAACAAAAAGAAAATTATGGACCAATACCCCTGAATAGAGAGGCAAAAAATCTCAAAAATAAAAAATAAAGTCAAATAAAGCAATATATTAGAAAGATCACTCACCATAATTAAGTTGGTTTCATTCCAAGGGTGAAAAATGGTTCAATAAATGCAAATAAAGTAATATAATACATCACATTAACAATGAAGAACAAAAATAATATGGTCATTTTAATAGAGATAGAAAATGAATTTGATAAAATCCAACATCCATTCATCGTAATAGCCTGTACAAATTAAGTATAGAAGAATTATGCCTTAACAATAAATTCTCTATATGACAAACCCACATTCACTATTATATTGAATAAGGAGAAGCCAAAAACATTTCCTCTGAGAAGCAAGGGTGTTGACTCTCACCTTTCTTATTCAACAGTACTGTAGGGACAGAGGAGGCAAGGCACCAAAGATAGCAGGAAACAGTTTTATTTGGCTGCAGCCAGGCTCAGAGGGCACAGCTTTTGCTGTAATCAGTCAATCCCCTGAATCCCAAGTTCAAGTAGTTTCCGAATTTTAGACCCAACATGTAAGGGGAGGGGCTCAGAAGTTCACAGTCTGCAGAAGTTCACATAAAAGCAGTAATTTTTTTTCACTGTTTTGGGCAAGTTAACCCTTCAAGGACAACACCTGAGAAGGGGAGATCTTCTTGTCCCCTTTCTTTCCTCCCCCTGCCAGCTGTTATCATGGAGCCTTATTAGTAAAGTGCCTTATCTTAGGAATGTAGACATCTCTGTGAAGCTCCAGCTCAAGGACAGAGGCCTTGTTTACATATTTCTGCAAACTACTATACTGGATACATGTTTGTGAAAAACTAGTAAGGGGTGTCTAACACCCGGAGTGCTGATTTCTTCTCGACAAAGTGGCCAAGTAAAACAGAAAATAGGAAGTTTATCTACATTGAACACTTTTGTAGAGACTCTTTTATTGACAGTCCTAAAATCAGCCATGGTGAGGATTTCTGGAAAACCCCAGTTAAGATTATCTGTGGATAAATGGGGTGCCATTACAAGAGTACTACAAGTTTTATCCAAAGCAGTTAGGCAAAAGAGAGGGGGGGAAAGTCACTACAGACAGGGAGAGGAGGCCAAATCACACCCATTTGATATAGGATTCTATACACACACACACACAGAGAGACACACACACACACACACACAATAAACCTATTAGAACTGAGAAATAAATTCAGTAAAATACCAGGAAACAAAACCAACATGTGAAAATCAGGAACTTTTCTATATGCCAATACAGAAATTGCTGAGAAAGAAATCATGAAAGCAATCATATTCACAATAGCTATAATGGTAATGGTAATGGTAATAAAATATCCATGAATAAGACTAACCAATGAAGTGTAAGACCTCAATAATAAAAATTACAAAACACAGGTGAAAAAAATTCAAGAAGACACACTAAATATGAAATAGCTTATAAACTAATTGAGGAAATTTCCAGATTTTTTTCTGTGGAGTCTCTACGAATTAGAAATAAACCTTAAATTCAATTCTTATGTAATTTTTGAGGAAGCTATCATTACTAAACACTTCTGAGTTTGTACCTTTAAATTGTAATTATTTACAAACTTCAAATTTTTCTACGATTATTTTTATGTTGATTATTTTTTTCTTTGTTTGTTTGTTTTTTTTTTTTAGTTCTAATCTGTTAAACATAACAACAGAAAGCTTCTCAATTCATTGTACATGGATGGAGCAGAATTTTTCATTTCTCTGGTATTACATGAAGTAGAGTCACACCATTCATCAGTCATACATGTACCTACAGTAATGATGTCCATCTCATTCCATCATTTTTCCTACCCTCATGTGTGCTCCCCTGGCTTTGCCCAATCCTAAGTTCCTCCACTCATCCCATGCCCTGCATCCATTATCAGAGAAAACATTCAGCCCCTATTTTGGGGGGATTGGCTTATTTCACTTGGCATGATATTTTCCAACTACATCCATTTACCTGCAAATGCCATAGTTTTATTCTCTTTTATACTAAGTAATATTCCATTGTGTATATATATCACAGTTTTGTTATCCATACATCTATTGAAGGGCATCTATGTTGGTTTCACAGTTTAGCTATTGTGAATTGTGCTGCCATAAATATTAAAATGGTTTTGTCATTGTAATATGTTGTTTTGAAGTCCTTTGGGTATAGACCGAGGAGTTGGATAGCTGGATCAAATGGTGGTTCTATTCCAAATTTTCTAAGGAATCTCCATACTGCTTTCCAGATCATTTGTACCAATTGCAGTCTTACCAGCAATATATGAGTGTGTTCCTTTCCCCCCACATCCTCACCAACACTTGTTGTTGCTTGTATTCTTGATTGCCATTCTGACTGGAGTGAGATGAAGTCTTAGAATAGTTTTGATTTGCATTTCTCTAATTACTAGAGATGTTGAACATTTTTTTGTATATTTGTTGATCAATTGTATACCTTCTGAAAACTGTCTGTTCAGCTCTTTAGCCCATTTATTGATTGAGTTGTTTGTTTTTTTTTTTTGGTGTAAATTTTTTGGGGTCTTTATGGAGATTAGTGCTCTTACTGATGTGTGGATGTCAAAAATTTGTTCCTAAAATGTAGGCTCTCTCTTCACCTCATGTATTGTTTCTCTTGCTGAGAAGAAGCTTTTTAGTTTGACTCCATCACATTTACGGATTTTTGATTTTATTTCTTGTGCTTTAGGAGTCTTGTTAAGGAAGTCAGGGCCTAATCCAGCATGATGAAGATTTGGGCCTACTTTTTCTTCTATTAGGCATAGGGTTTCTGGTCTAATTCTTAGGTCCTTGATCCACTTTGAATTAAGTTTTGTGCATGGTGAGAGATAGAGGTTTAGTTTCATTTTGTTGCATAGAGATTTCCAGTTTTCTCAGCACCATTTGCTGAAGAGGCTATCTTTTCTCCTATTGATGTTTTGGCACCTTTGTCCAGTATAAGATAACTGTAATTGTGTAGGTTTGTCTCTGTGTCTTCTATTCTGTACCATTGGTCTACATGTTTATTTTGGTGCCAATACCATGCCATTTTTGTTACTATAGCTTTGTAGTATAGATTAAGGTCTGGTAATGTGATGCCGTCTGCTTCATACTTCTTGTTAAGGATTGCTTTGGCTATTCTGGGTCTCTTATTTTTCCAAATGAATTTTATGATTGCCTTTTTATTTCTATAAGGAATGACATTGGGATTTTAATTGGAATCACATTGAATCTGTATAGAGCTTTAGGTAGTATGGCCATTTGACAATATTTATTCTGTCTCTCCAAGAGCAGGGGAGATCTTTTTATTTCATAAGGTCTCTTAAAGTAATAATTATATTGTTATAAATCATGTAGTTTCCTGCACTTTGAATATATTCTTATGTTTACACAAAATATGATTTTGTAACTTTCTATAATTTTCACATTAATCACTTTTAAACTTTTGTTTATAATTTTGTATCACCTTTCTCTATTTTTTACACTAACCCTTATTTTTAAGAATAGCTTTTAATTGGGACTGAATTTAATCTTACCACTTTCTTATTTCCCTAATTTCTTTTTTTTGTCTTTATTAAAACATTTCATTCAATTTCAAAAGCCTGCATTTAGTTTTGTATTACTGAGTTCTAAAAAGTGACAATTAATTCACAAATTTAATTTTCTTTTCAATTTAAAAATAGAGATACAAATGTTCCTCTGAGTTTGGCTTTAGTTTAACCTGCTACTTTACTATAATTTTTTTTTAATTTTTATTCATATGTAGAAGATTTATAATACTGGATCTAGATTTCCTAATTTAGATTTTTAAAAATTGAAATTTGCTTTAATTCTTAAGTAGTAAAATTTTATTCTCTTTAATTGATAAGTTGATGTTGGCTGTTTATTCTTTTTGTCATGTAGTCTGATTGAACTATGATCAAAGACTTTTTCTTATAAACTACTTGAATATTCAGCAATTTAGATTTTATTTGTTGCTGATTATATTTATTTTGTACCTTCCTGTAAATCTTCTATCAATTTGAGCAATTATATATATATATATATATATATATATATACATATATATTAATTTCTATGAAAATGACTATACTATTCAAAATTGTGTTTGACTTTTGGGTTTATCAAATTCTACAGAAACATATAAATATTAATTTTGCTGTTATATGTTTGGTGCAAGAAAATAATGACTAGTATATTGCTATAGAATATTAATTTTTATAGAAAGATGTTTAGTTTTATTTAAATTAATGCAGTTAACACTCCAGGAATCATTAGTATTAATAAATCCATATTATTTTGCATTTATATTTTGTATAAAAAATATATAAGTGTATATATATATATATATATATATATATATTTACATTTCCTTTTATTTTAAATATATTTTCAATTAAAACATAACATTCTGAAAGGACAAAAATCATAAATGCACACTTTGACAAAGTATTATGAAATCACCATTTTGCTGTAATCACTAATGAGATTAAGAAATATGGTATTTTCATTATCAAAATAAACTCCTTTGTCACTATTTCAGTAACTCTTCCCATGAACTTTTGTATACACACCTGGCAGGCAGATAGATGTAAGGCATCCTGGAGGACCTCACTATAAACTCTGACTTTTTGTGTTCAGCTTTTGCATAACCCAACCTCACTGATGACAGTTAGGACTTGTGAATTTTTCCTGCCAAAATAACACAGTAAAGGTGATGTCACTCTGTTTTTATGTTGTATATGATTTCACCTTAGTAGCTAATTGGCTCTGGAGAATCTTACTGTTGGTTTGATCAAGTAAGTGACCACGTTGGGATAATCCAAGAAATTCAGGGCAACCTCTAGAAACTGAGGAAAACCCTGCAGTGGGAGGGCAGCTTGCAATTCATAGCCAGCAAGACGCCTGCACTTTCATTCCTGCAATTGGAATGGCAACAGATTCTGCCAACATCCTGAGTGCTTTTGGAAGCAGATTCTCAGACAAGGCTCCAGATGATAATGTAACTGAGCAAATACCTTGATTGTTATTTTGTGAGTCCCTAAGCAGAAGCCCAGCTAAACCACATATGCCCTCCTAACCCTTAGAAAATATGAAATAATAAATGTGCAGTTTTAAGCCTCTAAATTTGTGATGGCTTGTCATGATACGTGTATAACTAACACATCCCTATCCTGAATTTGAATACCATATGTTACCCTCTTTAGGACTTTATATGAATAGCATCATTAAGTGTATGGTCATTTGAATTTGGCTTCTTTGACTCAACAGCATGTCACTCCTTAGCTCTTTGATGCCTTCATATATATAAATTTTAAATTTCATCTGTTTTTCCCCCATTTCTTTTTATGAGTGTCTTGGCCTCTATCTCTGGCTCTCTACTAGGCAACTGCAGCCAACCCTAGTTATTTTAGGAGCTAGAGTGCCAAATAGAAGGCTGACAATAGGTGCAGATGAGAAGACCCCCAGTTAATCCTGCATCTTCCTTGGTGCCCATGTATTTTATTTTGTTATTTAATGATAGCAAATAACAAATGATACCTTATTTATCTCTGAGTTTTTATTTAAGTTTGGAATTATGCAGACTAATTTATCTTTAATTCAATTCACAATTTTAATATTTTCCCAAGTTATTTTGGGCAAATGCTACTTAGAAAATCCTGGTTATATAAAAAGTTTTATTTTGCCGCTAGCTAATATGGAGTGTTCTCATAGAGCTGTAAATGAGCTCAATATTCATTATGCAAATGATTATAACCAGACAAAATTAAATGGGTTCAGCGTGGTGGCATTATTTCAAGGATCTAATTTGGGGGTTTCAGGCCTGTAGGCTGAGAGAGCAATGGGAGCCACATTAAGAGGCTCTTGATAAATAATAAAACACTTCAAAAAGAAACTGTATCAAAAGGGATATGACCTCTCGTAGTCCAGATGATGACCTAGGAGATGTAGGATGTAGTCCTAGGAGATGACCCTAGGAACTGATGCCAACTCCACCATATACTGCTTTATGCCTAGGCTGCTCTAGCAAGCCATTCCACATCATCTAGGTCTGTGATCAGCTCCCAGCATTCAGTGTTAAGGAAGCATCATCTACTGTTACCAGCTTTAGATGTTGTTGTTGATCAACAAAGAGATCTATAATCTCACCTAGTTAACATTTCAAAAGATGGGCGGAGTCAAACCCGGAAGTAAATTTTCCTAATGTGTTGAACACTGAACTAAATCTCAAAACCATACCAGCTCTGCCACCCAAAATAAAGCATTAATGTGGGGCAGATGACTTCAACTTCTGGGTCTTTGTTTCATTCTTCATGAAAAAGTAATAATAAGAAGGTGAGATGAATGGATCGGATGATCTGAGAGAAATACCTAAAACCTTAGATACAAAACAGGAAAGGAAATTAAAGACAACCTAAGTAAGGTACTCACCTCACCTGCTGTATGAATTCTGCCTCCCTGTGTTCATATCTTTGCATAACCCACTCTGTTAAGCAGGGGTAGGACTTGTGACTTTCTTCTAGGAAAAGAACACAGTAAAGGTGGTGAGATGTCGCTCAGGCTGAACTGATGCCAAGTAAGGAAAAGTAACTTATGAGACCTAGTTACTGTAGTTTCCTTTTACTATGACACTCTAACTTCTAAGTACATTTATTTAAGCTTTAAAGAATATATACATAATTCAACATTCTTGTCTAGACGGTATGAGAGTGTCCAAAGGGATCTGGAAGATAATAGGCAGCTCTGTTTTCTAATATAGTTGGCACTCTTTTGGAGAATAAGATAATTTAATAAAAACATTTTCTGGTCTATGGATATATGTAGAAAATTCTATCTGTTTTCATTCAAGAGACATTAAGTCTCATTTCAAATAAAAATGGAAGGATAAATTGTAATAATATGACCCCAGAAAGTGTCTAACAGAACCGAATTTTCACAATGAAGAATGACCCTGTGCCAACTTTAGAAAAAGAAACAAGCTTGTAGCTTTTACCAACTATTTTCCTCATTTAAGAAACAAGTGAGGGGCTGGGGATGTGGCTCAAGTGGTAGCATGCTTGCCTGGCATGTGTGCGGCCCGGGTTTGATCCTTAGCACCACATACAAACAAAGACCTTGTGTCCGCCGAAAAGAAACAAAAAAATAAATAAATATTAAAAATTCTCTCTGTATCTCTCTCTCTTTTATGGTTAAGAAAATGCTTATATGTGTAATCATTTGATTATGATCTGATTAACCCATGAGCATTAGATATTGTTATTACTGCCTGATATAACAATACATCAGCATTCTCAGGTGGAAATTTTGTCTCAAATTTTATAGTATCCCCATGAAAGGCAGGGTAGCTTCTATAATTAGCTCAGAACATCTAAATAAGTCCATCTCTTATAAAGAGCTATAATTACTTTGATAAAGTTGTCTAAACACCCAGCCATCCTGTCTTTACAGAATTTGATACAGAAGAGGCAGTTATTTCTCTAAAGCTTTCTGTTAATCTCAAGGAAGTGTTTTCAAATAGGAAGGAAAAGGTCATAATAATTTTTCTCACAAGCTGTTTTAAAAGTACTATTATAAAAATAATTGTAATTTCAAACTAATTGAAGACATATTTAGCACAATGGACAAATGCTCAAGGCTAGCATTCCACTGGGGTGCTGGATTTTATATACAGATCACACTTTCTATCACTAACCTCATTTGCCATTTCCCAAAATCCACCAAGAAAAATTCTCTACCTTTTCCTGCTGGGCGTTGAGACTCAGAGATAAAACCAAATAGTCAACTGCTGACTTAAGCTCCTGGCAGGTCACTGAAGGAGACCTTTATCTATCAGGCAAAGCCCAGTTGCTCTTCTCTTAGATCTTGCTCTTTGTATAATTCTAGCAAAGAGTCATATCTGCTCTGCTGTGTCCTGCACAGCATCTTCAGGAGTGCTTCTGTGTACTTGAACTTGCATGTCACAGTCAGAAGTCAGCAATGGCATTTTAATGAGACGTTTCTCCCCATGCCTTAAAGGTTATTTTCAAGCATTTTATACAAGAATCCTGGGAAGTTGTTTTGAAGATAAAACCAGAGAAAATAAAGTTACCACCAGCCAGAGTAGGTCTTGATGGGTCACTAGGAAGAACACCTTATTTTCCTGGGATAAGGAATAGAAAATAGTGACAGATAAAGGATGCCCATCTTTGAGAATAAAATCCTGTCTCACAAATGCATCAACAATGCCTAGATTCAGGATTTAAAAGCATATTAGATTAAAAGTTGAGTGCAGTGGCACAGGCCTGTAATCCCAGTGATTCGGGAGAGTAAGGCAGAAGGATCGCAAGTTCCATGCCAGTCTAAGTAAATGAGCAAGACCCTATATCAAGAAAAAAAAGTGCTGGGGTTGAAGCTCAGTAGTGGAGCACCTCTGGGCACCATCTCCAGTCCCATAGTAAAGAAATAAATAAATGAAGCATTCATTGAACAAAGTTTTAAAGGGATTAACTCTTGTCCATTTTTTTTTATAGTGGAGAATTCTCAATTCTAGAAAGAGAAAATACTGATTTGTTCAAGGTTACATAGAAAACTTGAGGAATACTTCCATTAAAAAAAAAAAAATCCTAGAGCACAACAGGGCATGGAGGAGACCTGGTAGGAGTTCTCAGCCATCCAGACCCTATCACTCAGGCCTGACGTGCCAGACTCCTCTCCCTCCATACTTCTTCTTTGACAGCCGACAGGCGATGCAGCCAGATCCCATGTTGGCAGCAATTTCTTCAACCAACCCAGCATCTCATTAGCCTATCAACTTGGTTTCTCACCTTCACTGATTAGATGTTTTTATTTTTTTCCCATTTACCCTAAAGATATTTGCACTTTTTATCAAAAGGCTTTTGCTTAAACATCAGCTTGCCGTATGTGAAGTGTATGTATTTTTGAACCTGAGAGTTAATCATCACCCAATTATCATCTTAGACTTTACTTGAGAACTTTGTTTTTCTTGTTTTCTATGCACCTGATATATCATGAGGAACAAGTTATGTAGGGTAATCAAATTTATTTATCATATATTTATCAGAATAATCAAAAACAGTACTCAAATGAAATTAAGGAATGGATACAAACAGGTAGACACTAAATAGATTCAGAAAATAAACTTAAATCTTTGGACCTCTCCAGGCACTCAGTGGAAGGATGGGGAGAGATGTTGAAGGTCATGTCATTTCACTGTATCATCCTTGACCACTCAGTCACTCTACTTAGGCTTAAAAATGTGAATGATGGAGAACTAACTCATCATTAAACAAGGCATTGATTCTATTTTGAAATGCTCCTGACTTTGATTGTATTTTGTTATGTTTTGCTTTATTTAACTGTGTTACCTTCACTGAGCTGAAATCTTTCTCCCTGCAACCTACACCTACTCTTCTCAGTCCTCTCACTTGGAGCTACACAGAAAGGTAGTCTAGCACTTCCTCAGACCTGCGGGTGTTTAGAGAGAGCTCTCCAGCCTCTTCAGCCTTCAAAATTATTTTCAGAACTCAATAAATATACATTCCGAGAGAACGGTAGAGTGGAAATATCTATGATTCAACTTAAAACCATAAAAGACAGCTAATAAGAGCTTATTAGCACTTGGTGAATTAAAATATAAATCAGCTAGTAAGAGAGCAACTGCACCCAGCTTTCAAAGACAAAGCTAAGTAACCCTTCCTCCATGATTGCCTCAGGCAGTAGAGTGCAGGCAGCGCTCTAGCTCTATCCGACCAGGTGTTGTGAGTGCAGGTGCTCTTGCACTGTAGAATGGTTGGGGTGGACACCTCTTCCAGGATGATACCACAGAAAGGAAATTGTCCTCGTGAACCTATAGATTTAGACACATTCCAGCATAAACTCAATGTGATATGCAGAAATCACTTACCTCTTTTATACTCATCAGTTCAGCCATAAATAATTTATAGTACTGTACAAAATTATGAAAATTCCCTTTGTCACTAATCTTCAAATGATGCTGTGATTCGGATTAACCTAAAAAAAAAAAATCCCTCCTCACCTCTCAAGTGATTCCAGAGCATGTATAAATAAGACGGTCTGTTGATAGTTTCAATAATAATTATTTTCATCTATTAAATATCTCACATGTGCTTTGAAGACATTTATGTAATTATTTATCACAAGGACCTTGAGAGTTACTTTTCATTATCACCATTTTACATATCAGAAGCAGCAACTCAAAGAGGTTAAGTGACTTGCCTAATGTCACCCAGATAGTAAGTGAGGAGATGTTGAACTCATCAGTCTGAAACTAAAATAATAAAATTTTATTTATTAATTATCAAATTAAACAGTAGGTATCTCAATGTACGCTCCCACAAAAGCAGAAACCGATGCTAGATATTATTGTGTTGCTTCTTTATAATTTAGTAATATCGAGCAATAAGCACAGTGTGGGGTTGAAGCTTAGACCTTTGGAAACAAATTCAAGATCCCAGCAGGTGGAAAAAGATGTGAGGTACATTTGGGCTAGTAGATGTATTTTATTTGAAGGTAGCAGCAGCCCTTCGCTGGCTCCCAGATTTCAGCCCCTTTAGCCCCCCGTCTTTCTTTTTTATTTAATTAAAAAAAATTTTTAGTTGTTGATGGAAATTTGTTTTATTCATTTATATGCAATATTGAGAATCGAACCCAGTACCTTGCACATGCTCATGCTAGGCAAGCACTCTGCTACTGAGACTCAACCCCAGCCCCAGCCCCCTAGTCTTTGCATAAGCAGTTTTTTTTTCCTTTTTTCTTATATGCAGGCCAAACAAAGAAAGCACATTGTCAACAGGTTACATAAGTGAGCACATGACCTTGAGTACATATGCTGAATCAGGATGTCCATCGCTTTGACTATATACTAGAATCATAGTCAGCAGGAAGCCTTGGTGAGGGACCCTAACTATAGCCATCTTGGGCCAGCCTCACACAGAACATAGTTTCTTTCTTTCTTTCTTTCTTTGAAAGGGAAAGTAGATCCTACCTATCAGAGAGTTCCATTCAAGGTAAAAAATAGACATATATCTTAGGCCAAGATGATTGGTAAAAAAGATATCATTATATTGCTACAGCTTGTCCCAAGAACTGATCTAATTTCATTATTAACTTCCCATCATCTTTTCTAGATTTCCTGCAGTCTTGGTCAGTACATAGCTGACCTGGAAGAGCTACTTAGTGGGGTGACCCCAGGCACTCATCCCTCAAATATCCATGCCCTTAATTGTGTTACTCTTTGAAAGTCAAGATTTTGAAATGTTCATTCACACTTATTGTGGTTAAAGAAGCACAAGGTGTCACAAACCCTATGTTTTCAAAACAAATCTCTGCCAATGCTCACTGTGTAAAACCAACCTTAACTCATCAGGGTAATCAGGTTCTTCTGCTTCCATCAGTGTAGAAACTCATTTCTATGTGTATTTCATTGACTTAAGAAGCACAAAACAACCATGAAGCCCTAGAGCTTAAAGTTCAACATGACTAGCAGCATCTCTGACAGGAGCATTTTTCTTCCATGATCTGTGACCACTAACTTGGCAAAGCCTAAAATCAGGGGAACTGAAAGTATAAATTCTTCTACCAACTCACTGAGAGTAAGGTAAGAAGAGCCAGCTCTGTTTCTACTGCTCAGTTCCCGTCACCATACATACTAGTTCCTATGAATATCCTTGGCCCAGCAAACAGGCTGGGCTCTGGTGATCAGAGCCCTCATCCCTAAGCATATGGATGCCCAAACTGCCTCCTTAGCTAAACTTTTTAACAATTCATTCTGCCGCTCTGCGTAGATGGCAGATTTTCATGCTAAGACCAATGTATCTGTTACCATGCAACCATTGTTATAGGGTTCCTTTGTTGTGAAAGAATCTCTTTTAATAAAATAATGTCTGTGGATGACCATGACAATGGCCAGGCATTCTGTTAAGTCCTTAAGCAGATGTGGTGGAAGCACTAAGGGTAGGAAAGAAAAACCCATTCTGTGGTAGGTGTTAATTCTTCTAAGAAGCAATTTTGGCCCTTTGTGAGTGAAATGGATTCAATTTAACTGACCTGGTATCATGTGGCTGGTTAATCTTCTGGAGGAATAATGCCATATGGAGGGGTCATTTTTATTACAGGCCTGATTTTCAGTGCAGCCTGTGCTGTGGCTTCAGATGATGAGTCTTCTTAACAGCTGCCTGAGGGCTCTTTGGCTGTCTAGTGTGTTTTGAGTTAGCAGTTGATTATCCTAAATTTATCATGTTCTCATTTCAAATTTCCCAATCAAGAACTTTAAATTTTACATACATACGTGTGTGTGTGTGTGTGTGTATCACTTATAATTATCATCTACTCCATACCATTCAAACCCTCAGCCACTGCATCCCATCACCTCAGATTCCACCTGTATTTCACTGCTGTTCTTCACAATTGAAAGCTTTGGTGCTTACCACCACTCCAGTTTTTGCTAGCAACAAGGTTCTTATACTCATCAGATCAAAGAGTAATCCAATTTTGAATTCCCATCTCCTGTATAGAACTATTTTCCCAATATCAGCTTTCTTAATTTGCCTTGTCTCACAAAGCAGTCTAAAACAAAGATGTATAAGCTGCAGCTTTATTCAGGAGTGGTTCCTAAGGAGCAGGATTGAGGGAGGAGGTAACCCCTCCCCACCCCTAGACGTGGTCAGAAAACACAGTCTATGGCATCTAACTGTCCATGGCAACAGAAAATGTTGCAGGTAGGAGGTAAAAAGTGTACACACTTTGTGACGCAGTTCTGCTAGATCAAGCCTCTGTGATGTCTTTCATTATCCATATAGAGTACAACACCACAGTCTCTGAGACTCAGGTGAGACCAAGAAACTTTGGGATTGAGGTGCAACTCAGTGCTAGAGCACACACATAGCTTGCATGAGGCCTTCAGATCAATCCTTAGCACCAAAAATATGTAGTTTTGAAACGGGACATAAATAGTGCCCAATGCAATTAATAAGACTGGGAACAAATAAATGCATTAATAACATTATGGTCTCTCTGACACCTTGAAATCATTTGTCTTAGATGCTTGCCCCACCTATTTTATTACTCCCTCTAAGCAAAGAATTGTATCTACTCCAAACTTTCTGATGGTTGAGAAAGGCCACAAGGCCAGCTCAAAGCTAAAACCCCTGGAGAAGTAGGCAGGACTGCTCAATCTGATTTGGATATAGGCATCTCTCCTGTTCATTGTTTGGATAAAAGTGCAAACACAGCAGAGAAACATAACAAATGTCTTATTTTGATTGTCCAAACTGAGAGTAATGAAAAAGCCAAACTAATAGAAATTAGGAAATGTAAATCGAATTTACAAAATTCTTCTAGGGCTAATAAAACAAGGTATAACATTACTTGCACAAACAAAAGACTGCTATTTTATTGTCGTTTTTACTGCATATGATTTTGACGCTGACAACACTCTTTTTATATGCTAGTTATATGAATATTCTATTCAATGTTTAAATTTAAAAAGCTGCAGAAGCAAAGAGCACAGCTCTCAATGACCAGAAAACTGAGTCACTACAGTAAATTATAAAGTATCAATATACAATTAGGTTATAAAGCAAAGAATTTCAAAGCCCACTGAATTATATCATACTGCAGCTCAGACACCCTTTTGTCATACTCAACTGTACATTCTCTCTGCATCTGGCAAGCTGGGCATACCCCTGGACAAATGTACAAAATATGGTGCTAAGAAATTCTGATTTGCTGCGAACTTAAACACCCAAGTGCATGAAAAACACAGACTGAGGGCCCACTAGAAAGACAGAAAGTGGAGGAAAGGATGTCCCTAGGTATTAAATCATACAGTGAGGTCCCCAATCCCATCATCTACCACTTTTTCAACCATTTTTCTCCATGTAGTTTAATACAGAAAGAACAAATGGTCTACAGTTAGAAAGAAAAATATAGTAGAAGTTCAGAATGGAACAAAAACAAAACATGGCTATATAAAAATTCTGCTTTTCCTACAAAGACCTGAACCCTGATTCCAAACAGTGCCTGAAGTCAGCTTACTATGAATAATAACTATGTCCATAAGTTGTTTTTATTGGTCAGTATAGACTGTAATCCTTACAAGGAAAAAAAAATAAATATAGGACCTAAGCATCTGTTCACCACTCATGGCTAAAAGTTGCCTCCCAGAAAACTCTAGACTTTGACCCTTGGAAGGACTTAATATGTTTGAAATGATTATGCACCTTTAAAGTGAGCTTGTTTTCATGCAAGTCCAGTGACAAAGAAGTTTTAATGTAGCCTCTTGATTCCTGTCTTCCATCACTCATGCTTTTGTGAAATCTCACCCTGAGTGGGAGTGGGACCTAGGACTCCATCTAAATAATGGAATGTGTCCAAGATCATGGTGAGGGTAGAAGTTTCCACTACCTACCTGTCTTCCTCTTGTTTGCTGGATTTGAAACTCATCATGGTTAAGAGGGCCTGTGGAGAGAACCATGTGGCAGAGATTTGTAATTGACATCAAGGAGTTGAAAGCAAGAAGGTGGGCCTTACATCCTTCAGACACAAGAAAATGAAATCTACCAATGAGTAGATTAGAAAGCACGTTCTTCCCCAAGCAAACATCCAGAGGAGAATGCAGCTTGGATGCATCTCGACTGAATCCTGTGAGACTCTGAGCAGAGAACCTGGCCTCACTGTGCCACGTCCTAAGCTGCAGAACTGAGTAATGAATGTGTGTTATGTGAAGTGCCTGTGTGTTTGAGAAGATGTTATCTGCAATAGAAAACCAATACATATAAGAGCAGCCAAACCACTCAAACTGTAGTATCAGAATATGACTGAGACCAGGACTTCACAGAGGAGTTTTGTTAAAAAGTGCCCAGTTTACATGCTAACTTATCATGTTTCTTTGAGCCACTCCTAATGGATAAGGCTCACATCATCATTTTAAGGTGGAGGAATTGGCACTACAATAAAGTACTTAAAAAGGAGATACCTGTTTATCAAAATCCTGATGCTTTTCTCCTGCAAACTTGCCTGAACAAGTGTAAATTTAAAAATTCTTTAAATTTGAAAAAAAAACAAAAACATTTCCTTCCAAGAGTGTGGATCAATAACTAATTTGAAAACTAAATCACTAGGCCTGTTTAGATGGTTTATAAAATAACAGCAATGACAAAGTGACAACAGAAACAAACTATTCAGCTAAGTGTCCACTTATTCAATTGATTACTGTGGTCTCACTTTTGATTTATCAGAAATGGAAGTATTCCAGAAGGTATAGTTTAAAACTTCATAGCCTCTTAAACTAGGGACAATGAAAATAGCAACTTTTCCAGGGAACATCTTTTGTATCAGAAGATGAAATTGCACAATAGCTCCCTTCCTGTGATTCTTATTAGAAGTGACACTGGAGTCCCATTCACGGGCTCCAATTCCAGCTGAGTCTGTTATTAGCTGTGGGAAACTGAGTGAGCCATATAGTTTCTTTAAGTACCTAATACAACTAGTGTGTTGGCAGCAATTCTTAAAGGATGACTTTGTGACAAAGCTTGTGAAAGTGAGGACATACATTGACTAGGATCAGGATTTTTGACATCAGACAAGCGTATGTTTGATTGCAAGTTCCAGTATTTGTAAGCTGTATCTCCAAGTAACCACCTTAACCCCATAAGGCACATGGGCACTCTAATACCTATCTATAGTATTTAATTGACATGAAAATCAAGTAACCTAGTACACAAAAATCCTCGGTCCAGAGCCTGATACATAGCAAATGTGCATTAAATGTGAGTTTTTACTACCCCCTGAAAATTCCCAGTACATTATATACTCGATGCCTGGTTCCTTTCTCCATATACTTTTGTCACCCTTCCCTGTGTCTCATTCCTACATTATAGTTCAGAGATAACATCCAGAAATTCTGGGATTTCAAAGCTGCAAGAAATCTCATTTTCAAAAAAAATATATTCAATCAGACATTCACTGAAAATGTAATCATACTAAAATCTAAAAGAAAGATGTATTCAAAATTTCTAGGTGTTTGGATAAACAGAGAATAGTATTTTCTTATCAGACCTCTCTAGATGACATAACAGCTGTATCCCACCAAGGGGCTATGATGTATATGCCACTCTTCAAAATAGCACATGGATGTCAAAAAAAGGGTGAGCTGTTTACTTCTAGCATATTATTTGCAATTTAGAAGATATTTAATTATCACCACAAAGTAATTAATAAGTGCCTAATAAAATTATAGATGAATAAAACTAACATTCTATTTTAGATTTAGTCCACTTGTTTGTCTTAAATTTTCAGAACTCCAAAAAGAAAATCCTCTACAGACATCAATACATGTGAATTCCTCTTCTTTTTTAACACATTTGAGTTATATGAATGATATGAACAGAAACTGACATGCTATGAATGGAGGAATTTTAAAATTGCAATAGATTTTTAAAGATTAATAATGAGGATAATGAGAATTGGCTTTGTTATACTGAGTGAGAACAGAAAAACATGCCAATAATCCTTATAGACAAGCTAGTGAGTTGTGAACTCTTGATGAATAAGTATATTACCACCAACCTCCCACTTTCTATTAAGAAGAAAAATAATGTGAATCAAATGGTTAAAGGCAAGTTTTCAATGCCTCAGAGGACATCTCTGATTAAACATTCTCATGTTCTTCCTCAAGATATAAGATCTAAGAAATTATTCTTAAAGAATCAATTTTGCATAGAAAATCTCAAAGTAGTTTTTGTATTTATGAAATCATAGCATCTTAAAAGAAGGTAATAAATTATAACTACCTCTTGAATGTTAGAGAAAGAAGAAAATAAAGGGAAGAAGGAGGCATGTGAACAGTTTATTAAGTTGTTAGGTACTTGTTTTGCATTATCAGATCATCAATAAAAGAGATTCTTTTATTTTATTTTTTTTCCTAGCACAATTCCCTGACTCCATTCTTATGGTACCTCCTAAAGTACTTCTGATCAGATGGATTAGCAGCTGAGCCAATTCTGTGGAAACATAGTTCCCAGGAACCATATGGGGAAGTCCTTTGAGTTAGAAAAAACATGCTGAGTTTATCCTCTGGACTGAGATATGAAATCCAAGTAAAAGAATATCCAAGTAGACCAGAGCTGCCAATGGTCCTCCATCTCATAGTGTCAGATGATGTTTCTCCAGAGAAAGGAAAGGTGATCCGCCCATGGAGAAGACTGTGAATCAATAATGCCTTTTATTAAAACTAGTATGTTATTTCTTGCAATACTAACATTTATGACCACTACAAACATACCTTTTAAATGTACCTTTAAAAATGCACTCTAATAAGATTTCTGGTATCAAGGAATTTTAGCACACTCCCTCATAGCAGGAACCTGATCTAAATATTATTTCCAACAACAACAGAAAAGTCATCAGAAATTTAGAGGACATTTCTGATAAATATCTAAATGTTTAGCATGCATCTCACCTTACAGTATTATATTGTTTCTCAGAACATGTTTTTAGTTTCTTCATCAGGACGGTAGGAGCTTTTTATACAATATATATTTAAGATTTGAGGATAATTATTCACAAGTCTAAGAATAACAAGAATTTAACTTTATTAAAATAATTACTGATTCAGAAAATGTACCTGTTCTACTCTGGGGAGAAGACCCTTGACTAATAAACTACATCGTAAGGTAAATGACCAAAATTACACTGATTCCAGAATGGTTGTGGCTCTCTAATTGATCTTCAGGGAGCTACACCAATGGGAGAGAGTGAAAGGGAAGAAACTTGCAGGAAAGAGACCCACACTCTGTGTCCTGAGTTCTGTCCTTGACGCCACAGGAAAGCTGTCCATCGGGTAGTTCATTGTAGTGATTCAGAACATGGTGTGTGTGGTAAGACGTTTTGGGTTAAAATCTTGGCTCTGCTGTTGATGTGCTACATGATCTAAAGACAGATCACTGAAATCAGTTGTCTCCCTTGTAAAACGGATAATATTATTTACAGGATGTGGTCAATGTCAGGATTAAATTACTCCTGAGTTCACTTTGGACTGTATGTTCTTCGCTTAACACCTTAGATGTCCATCCCATACCTCTTCCTCCATCTTGAACACCTAAGAGGTAGGGGTGTCTGCAGGACTCCACACTCTTCTTTGTTGGCAAATGCAAGTCACCTGTAGGATCCTGGTAGGCAGGAGGAAATTGAGATCTGCGTGCTTTTTCTCATAGCCAGCTCTCTGTTAGGGCACTGAGAGGCAATGCTGCAGGCATCTGTGGAAAATCAAGCTGGTATTAACAGACATTCTTCCATAGCTACAATTTTGTCAACTTGTATTAACCTCTCCCGCCTCTTGCTCCCTATAGCTTAGAGAGAGTAGCAGTTTCCCGGGATACCTCACCATCCTCCTTTGACTCACGTTAATCTGTAAGTACTCCTTAATTAAATTCTAGAATCGCCCTTTTTACATAGACAGTCTTTTTCCTGTTGGGTCCTTGCATGCTTAGAAGAATGTCCTTCATGCTATAGATATTCAGTAAGTGTTACCTACTACAGAAACTGCAGAGGTAGAAGAGGCATCTTTTCTGATAAGCACAATAATCACTTTAAGAACAAATAAACATAAACTCTCCTGGAACAAAATTATAATTCAAAGATTTAAGAGGGCTCAACTGCTACTTCTTTCTAGAAACTGTGCCCAGGAGACTGCAGCTTGTAAAAAAGCAAGACAAGTAACAGCCATTAAGATATGCAGTGAATGAGAACATCTAAGTAAAAAAGAATAAGTACCCCACTACACTTAAAAGTTGCTAAATCCTTATTCAAATAAATTGTAGAGTATGCACGGAACAAATATAGACTGTGTGACACTGAGAATTGTTTTTAAAAATACGCTGAATTATTTAGAAAATAGACAGAGTAGAGTAGGGTTAGTTCTTTTTATTTAATTTTTAAGTACCCTAACAAGCATCACCATATAGACTGCTACCCAGGTTTGCTGCTGTCTTAAGAGAGATACACAGATATCAAGCAGGTTTGAAATCCAGGATCATCACCTGGTGAAATAGGCCAGCTAACTTCTAGAACTTACCAGGAGGAAGGATTATGGAAATAAGTGGTTGCTAAGCTTTTCATCTTTCTTATTTAAGAACTGGTGAGAAGTTAAGCACAATGAATACTAAAATTGTTATTTGTGAGGTGGGGGGAAAACAAATGGTAATGAAAAATACTTAAAATATGGGTGCCTGCTGAATCCTGTACCCATGCATTTAAAGGAGTAAGCCATAGCATGGGATTGTATGAATATTAAGATTTTTCTTTATTAGGATTTTTTTTTATCCTTGTAAACAAAAAAGAGTTATGTACTTTAAAAGTCTTATCCTTTAAAATCATGTACTTTAAAATTCTTGCCATCTATATTAATAACCTGTACTGAGTGTTATCAGCAACTTTCTCTAGAGAGAATTTCTACAAGTAGAAATAAATGTTTGTTTCTCTAAGTCTGCATAAAAAAACTACATATTTGCAAATAACATTCATTCTATTATTAGTCTTTAGTGTTACTGAAAGACTGCAATAATTTTCCATTTAGTAGAAGGAAAGAAATGCAAACTTTTCCATTCCCAAAGAATGGTATAAGGGGAAAAGAAAAGAGAAGGGTTAGGGAGGGAGTATTATAAGAGTATTATACACTTCTAAGCAGAAATCATCATCGTGGTAAACAAAAGGAAATACCTTTCATCCCTCAGTCTATTATATTTCTGACTTCTTTTTCCAACTAAACATTGTTTGCCAGCTCTCCTGAACTGATCAGATGTCCTTGTTATTATCTCTTCTATTAAAGGTGAGAGATGTTCTAGCATATTTACTTCTGCCCTTTATGTTTTGGGCATAGAAAACACCAGTGGCTTCTGTTTAATAAAATCAAGTTTAAAGTAAAATAGGGACAAGGTCCTACCTGCACAGGAAATGAGGAGAAGCCAAATGGTGTAGATTGATGGTAGCATCTAAACTTACAAAGACTGGTTTTTATTAGGGCAGTTCAATGAAGTGGTAAGCCATTGGTGAGCTACGAGTTTTGTGAATGAAGGCAGCCTTATCCTGCCATGCACAGTTGGAGTAAGATAACTATATATTTAATGCTAACTATATAATAAAACCTAATAGAATCTTCCACCAAGTCCTGAACATATGTATTGGATGCTGATGGGGAAAAAAGAACCTAGAAGTATTCTAAGTTATCAAGCTACTTTAATCAAAATAGGAAGTAAAAGCTATTAGGAGAATATTAGTTGCAAAAGTGTTTGTTCATAGGGCCTGGCTAGTTCTTCTCTCTAACCAATCTATATGCTATTAGATTCAGGTCATTCACTTTGCATTTGATAGGGAAACTGAGTTCAGGCTCAGGGTGATGAAGTAAAGAAAATGTAAAGGTCAAGTCTTACTCTGTGAAAGCTGGATAGTATTTCCTATGTAAACACTTGCAATAAAAAATGACAAGTAACATCATGCTGGCATTAATCAGCAGGCTTTTGTTTGAACAACTTGCAGGAACAGATGGAGATAAAGGTTTGATAATAGATTTGGGTATCTTAAAACAGGGAAACCAATGATTAGAAATTCTATTGGGTTTTAAGCACATTGCTTCCCTGTCTTGTCAGCAGATGAAGTAGTATAGTTTCTGTAAGTCACTCCAGCCCTGGTTTAGTGAAATTCAAGTCTGAATTTCAATGTCATTGTGCTATGCAGCCTTTACTAGATTGTGAGCATCACATTTCAACATTTTCTCCCTCTTATACCTCCAGGTATTTATTTCTACGAATATTCTCCTAATAGCTTTTTCCTCCTATTTTGATTAAAGTAACTTGATAAGAATAAGGTGTTCTCTATTGTTAAAGGTTTGATACACTGAAAACCTTCCAGTGTAGCCTCATTGACTACATTTCCAACATAGGAACTCTATTTTCAAAGGAAATACAACTTCGTTGTGAGAGGATTATCATAATTTGAAAAAGTTTTTGTTTAACTGGAATGGATATCTGAAAACATGAACTTAGGACATGAGCTATGAAGTAGGTAATGGTTGGAAAGAGGAATGAGGAACAGACATTTAAAAAAAGAGATATATTCATTCATTTAATATTTACCCACTAAGGAGTTCATATGTCAGGCATTGTTACACATTGAAACAGAGAACAGACACTGTGAGATGGACAGGACCTGAGTACATGGAGCTTTCATTCCAGGAAGAAGGAACATACAATAAACAAATAGTAAGTAAATAAGGTATTGTCTTAAAGTGATAAGTGCTGGTAAGACAACATAAGAATATGATGGAAAATATTCAGGGTAGGAGATGAGAAGACACTTCACATGGAAGAGTCAACACTACCTCTCCAATGAGAGTCATTTAACTAAGATTTGAAATAAGAGGAGTCAACCTTATAAACTTTCAGGGAAAGAAATTCAAATGTAAGGTCATTGATGACTAATTCCCTCCCCCCCCCCGAAAAAGACACACAATTCAATGTGGATGTAGCAGGCAGAGAGAACTCGAGATCAGTTTGGACAGCCAGTTCAGACCAGATAGAGGGTTTGAGAGGTTGTGTTAAAATGTATGCATTAAAGTTTTGCACAAAATCTAACCTTTTAACACACTAGATACTCAGAAGGCTGAAGCAGAATAATCTCTTGTTCAAGCCATCTCAGGCAACTTAGCAAAACCTTGTCTCACAATATAAAAGCCTTGGGGTGTGGCTTAGTGATTGTCTAGAATGTGTAGTTCTGGCTTCAATCCCCAGTACCACAAAAGAGGGGGAGAAAAAAAAGATTATTGAATTTTATTCTGAAATAAGTGGGACTGCCATGACAGAGTACCAACAACTGGGTGACTGACACAACAGAAACTTATCTTGTTAAAAGGTATGGAGGTTGCAAGTCAAGGTCAAGGTGCCAGCACGGCTGGGCTGGTTTCTGTGGAGGCCTCAATCCCTACCTTGCAGATGCCCAAATCTTGCTGTGTCCTCGTGGGGCCTTTTCTCTGTGCATGCTCACTCCTGGTATCACTTCTTCTTCTTCTAATGAACAATAATGGATGGAGGGTCCCATCCTGATGACTTCATTTAACCAAAACTGCTTGTTTAAAGGCCTATCTTCAAATATGGTAATGCTGGGGTTTAGGTCTTAAAAATATGAATTTGGGGGTCATAACTTAGTCTATCACACAGTGATTATGTGACATGATTATATATATTTGTGAAATATCCCTCTGGTGCCACGGAGAGTTTGGGTTTGGTTCAATGTGGATGGGCCATAGTGACTTAGGAAGAGTCAGAATCAATATTCACTTACTGTACCTCATGCTAATTTCTTCCTAAAAACCCAACTGTGGTTAGCTGCATACAAAATACATAATAAAGGATAGCTTATTAGCTGTTTATCTTAGATGTAAATGTCAGGGTTCAATCCAAAAATAAAGAGCTTTGGAGGTACTCACACACCCCCCCCCGCCACACACACACACATTCTGTAGTGGTTTCTTTTCCTTCTCTTTTAAGGATTACAAGGTCATGGTTTCTTTCTTTATTTCTTTCTTTTTTCCCCTACAAATTCCCAGAAAGGCACTGTTCAGTCAGCAGCAGAGCAGGATCAACAGTGTAAAAGCTTCATGGATCGTGGGGGTCATGCCATGCACATGAGGCAGCACATTGCTGCTGTTTTATTAGCCAGAAGAAGTGATTTGTCAGCTGAGCCTCATTTACCATGACCCTTTCAGAGCATGGATGATGGCCCTAGACATTGTGAACCTGGGAATACTTGTCCCCACCCCCACTCATTTGGAGTACAGAGTGAGAGGAAGGCGGTCGTAAGAAGAGCTTTGATTTTGATCCATAATAAATGCCAGTTGAATACTTTAAAACAGCATCTCCTTAAACAGAGAATAATCCTGTGAGGAAAAAGGTATTAACCCAACTTCAGAAATGAAGCAAATGAGGCCGTTAGGGATGAAATACCTGCCTATAGTCACATCATGAGTAAGTTTGGAACCTGAAAGACCTCAAAGCCTTGATTATAAGCCTCATGCAATGGAACACACATCCGTGCACTACTGCAGCTCACTTAAGTTACCTAAACTGCAAACATCAGCAAAGTTACAGTATTGCAGCAATTACAACTTCATTCTCAGCTGGTTTTGAGGGGCCATTTTTCACTGCTGGGCCCTGGTCAGGCAGGGTGTTGGGCACTGGTCTGCCAAGCCTGTCTCAGAGTGCCTGGGGTAAAGGTGGCAATAGTGTTAACACTTTCAAGCAAACTGAAGCAAGATGATGGTCTCAAAGGGTCCTGGATGTAGCCACCACATCTGACTCCACTTGAAGGATTTCAGTGAGAGACAAACTGCCTGTTAAAGATGAAGGTCACCATGAGGATGGGGAATTTTAATTTGAAACTCAAGTTTCTTATGCACACAGCATGATGCTTCTCACAGTGAAATTCTGGACCATGATATGGCACCCCAATATCACAGAGACAGGGAAAGCATCTCTAGATTTATTGAGACCATTCAATTGATGGCACTGAATGGGCTCCCGTGGGAATGTTAAAGGATGATGTTTGCGGATTAAATTTTATCTGTTGATACTCTGAATTTTGATGATCCACTGACTTTCAAAGGTGCAGAGCATCATTTGCAGAACAAGGAGGAATAAAGGGGATGACTACATCAAGCGTTGTGCAAGATGGTAAGAGGAGAAGCTTATTTATTTAATGTTAATTTACAGTTATTTAATGTAACTATATGTTCGGAGTGTGTTATGTATAATTTAATGCTAAAAAAAAAAAAACCTGTACCCAGATTCAATTCTCAGGTTGTTAAACAAGTTCTCATCTACTAGATCCTATATGATACCTATTGCTCCCTCATCAAAGAGTCCCCTTTTTATACCTGCTAAGTTTTGAGTCTACATTGTGTGGAAAAATTAAGTGATAGAGAATGTAGGATATAGAATACGACTGTATTATTTAAATTTAATTTTCTTTTGTTGTTTTTACCTTAGGTCTTATTAACTGGTAGGCACTAAATGGAAGACATGAAGAGATAAATCTAATTGTTTTTCTATTTTACTCAAGAGTTCTCCTTGATCATTCTAATCTATAAGGCTACACGCGCACTTTTTAAACTTTTTTTTAGTTGTAGATGGACACAGTACCTTTGCTTTATTTTTTATTATTTATTTTATGTGGCACTGAGAATCAAATCCAGTGCCTCACATGTGCCAGGCAAGTACTCTACCACTGAGCCACAACCCCAGCCCAACACACACACTTTTTAAAGCAGAGTTAATAGTGTATCATGCCTTCTATCCTGTAACATATGCAAATGCTTCCATGTCAACATACAATCAAATATAGGATAAGTGCCTTTCTCATCCTCATTTCTTCTGTGATAGTAGGAAGGTGGATAGGACCTTCCTACTGACCAGAAGTAATGGATCTGTTATTTGTTTCCTCTGAAGCAGGTAGATGTCTAAGGTCTTTTCTTGTACACTCTTCAGAAACCTCTACCACTAAGAATCTCTTACCTACAGTTCTAGTTCTCTTGCATTATAGAACTGACTGTACCAGTGAGCACTTTCAGACTTCCAGTGCACTTTGGGGAGCTGGACTCCCCATTTCAACTTGCGAGTCTTGACTCTCCCACATTGTTCACGCACATGGTTCACAGCTGGTTAAATAAAACCTTGGACTTTTGATCTGCCACCTATAGAAATGGGATTGCTTCCCACACATGACCCTTTCATTTTATAAAAATGATTTCTGCCCATGAGTTGTTGTGGGCACTTATAAAGAGACTTGGCATGGATTAAATCCTGGTTAAATGCGGCTGTTATTACTGTAATAGTTAGTAGTATAATTTATGCATTCAGCAAATATTTATTGAGCACATTCTCAATTCATGACACTCTGTAATTTTCTGTGCATATAATAGTAAAAGAGAAAAACCTAATGATTGCCATAATTTCTATTAAAGGAGACTAGAGAAAGTGAAATAAACAGGTGAATAAATTTTAGAAATTATATATTGCAGTTAGTGATAAGAAAGAAGAAAACAATGGGGAAAATGAGAGAGAATGAAAAGAACTTGGGCGGTCATCTGCCTTATCTAGGGTGGTCATGCAAGACCTCTCATCTGGAGTAGATGTAGACAGAGACCCAAAAGATAAGAAAACCTGGGGACAAAAGTCTGGGGAGAAACATCACCCATAGAAGACTAAAGAATATATCTTAAGGCAGGAGATAATCTTGTGTATTGAAGAATAAATGGAAGACCAGAACTACTGATAAGAGCTTGGGAAACTCTTGTACAAAATAATGATGAAAGATAACAAGGGCCTCCAAGAGCGCATCCTTGCAAACTGTGATCTTGTTTGGATTTCATTCTAAATCTAGGTGTGATTTTCCTTAGCAGTCCCTCAGAGAAGTCATATAACATAAACCTAGAGAAGGTGGAAGTGACCCACTCAAAGAATTTCTTTGCCTTAAAACCATAAAGATTTATGTTGTCATCCTTTAAAATTAGTCCTATAGAGATAAAGGTGGAGACTGTCTTGTTTAGTATCGTGTCTCCAAGTACTTAGAAACTGATTTGACACAAACATGAATTTAAATAAATGCTATCTGAATGAATGGATGGATGATTGCATGCTGTCGACATTACATAGGGCTAAATCCTTGACCAAGGAGATCCAACAGTCTTGTATTTGGATCCTCAATTTCCAAGTGTATGTGCCTCACAAGTGCCAGGCAGGTGCTCTACCACTAATCCATGTGTGTCCTTGCATAAGTATATTAAATCTCTGAGTGGTCAGGGAGAACAAGGAGTGCAGATACTCTCAAGGTTAGTTTTGCAGAGGAAGAGTTGGTCTTCTACAGAGGAAAGCCATGTGAGAATTGAAAATGGCCCCATGGAATTGGCCATGCCTGGCAGCTTCAGACAATCAAACTGAGTTTGCTGAGACGAGGGATCCTAATGGAGACAGTGGAGCCACTACCAAACAGTGGAAGGACTTGGACTCCCCCTCAAGAATGATGGAGAGGGACAGGGAAACTCTGACCACACACCTGCAACTGACATGTTGTCTTGCTCCTATTTATACCAGGGAGGGGTTGATGCTGCAGGTACCAAGGTGCAAGCACGGGGCTGGAGGGCACAGGTGCACTGCAGAGTAACAAGCCATTCTTATCTCCTTGATAAGACACCTGTGTCTCTCTCCAAGCCCGTCTCCCAACAAACTTGCTTCCAAACCTGGGGCAAGAAAGCTGTCCGGACTTCTGCTTTGTTTTTGACCTTTGATACTCTAAGCCTCAGGTTCCTTATCAGTAAAATATGTACCACATAAGGACCAGCTTTACAAGGTTGTTTGAGTATTCAACCAGACAATGTAAACAGTTTAGTGCTTTACCACAGAACCTGTCTTTATTTAATATCAACATTTTCATCATTAATTTTTCCTGCATTAATTTTGATTTTTTAAAATATGTATCTAAGGTATTATCTTGATTACTGCTTGGCTCTTTTCTGAATTTGGCTTCTGAAGGGCGTACTTTACTAAGTCTACTCTAGTTCTGGTTTTACATATATGTGTATGTATGTGTATATATATATATATATATATATATATATATATATATCTGTTTTGTATTTGTTCTTTATACATTCAAGTGACAGTAGAGTATGTATTGACATATTATACATACGTAGAATAAATAGTAACTTGTTCTAATTTTAGGATCCCATTATTGTGGTTGTACATGATGTGGAGTTACATTGCTCATGTTTTCTTACACAAGATAGGTAAGATATATCTGATTCATGCTACTGTCTTTCCTATTCCCATTCCCCCACCATTCCCTTCATTCTCCTTTGTCTAGTCCAATGAATTTCTAATATTCCCCTCCCGTATTGTGTATTAACATCCATATGTCAGAGAGAACATTATACCTCAGATTTTTTGGGACTGGTTTATTTCACTTAGCATGATAGTCTCCAGTGCCATCCATTTACCAGTAAATGCCATAATTTCATTCTTCTTCATGTCTGAGTAATATTCCACTGTGTTTATCTACCACATTTTCTTTATCCATTCATCTGATAAGGGCACCTTGATTGGATCCATAGCTTGGCTATTGCTATGAACATTGCAGTGGTTGCATCTCTGTAGCATGATGATTTTAAGTCCTTTGGATATAAACTGAGGAGTGGAATAGCTGGGTCAAATGGTAGTTCCATTCCAAGTTTTCTAAGAAATCCATACTGCTTTCCAGAGTGATTACACCAATTTTTTTTGTTGTTGTTGTTACTGTTGTTGTTTTGTTTTTTTTGTTTGTTTTGCTGTTAAGGTTTTTGGATTCTTTGTATGTCCTAGAGATAAGTGTTCTAAGTAAGGTCCTGGTGGTAAAGATTTTTCTCCCATTCTGTAGGCACTTTGTTCACATTCTTGATTGTTTCCTTTGCTGTGAAGAACCTTTTTTATTATGATATCATCCCATTTTTGATTCTTGATTTTTACTTCTTAAACTTTAGTAGGAATCTTATTGAGGAAGTTTATTCCTGAAGTAATGTGGTAGAAGGTTAGGCCTACTTTTTCTTCCAGTAGGCACAGAGTCTCTGGTCCAATACCTAGGACCTTGATCCACTTTGAGTTTAGTTTTTTAAAGGGTGAGAGATAGAGGTTCAATTTCATTCTGCTGCAGAGGGATTTACTCCTCTACAATGAAAACTACAGAATATTAAAAGAAAAAAATTGAAGAAGACTTTAGAAGATGTAAAGATCCCCCATGTTCTTGGATAGGCAGGATTAATATTGTGAAAATGGCCATACTACCAAAAACGCTATACAGATTTAATGCAATTCCTGTTAAAATTCCAATGACATTCTTCATAGGAAAAAAAAGAAGTCATGAAATTCATTTGGAAAAATAAGAGGCCCAGAGTAGCCAAATCAGTCCTTAGTGAGAAAAGTAAAATAGAAGGCATCACAGTACCCGACCTTAAACTATACTACAGAGCTATAGTAACAAAAACAGCATGATATTGGCACCAAAACAGACATAAAGGCCAATGTAACAGAATAGAGGTCACAGAGTCATACCCACATAAATTTATCTCATACTACACAAAGTCACCATAAACATACACTGGTGAAAAGATAACCTTCTAC